TAGCCTTGGTAGGTCGGAGTGCGTGTGCGTAGTTACGTGTATTCGGAGACCGAGAGATTGTGCGCCGAGATTCGGAGCAGCTCTGTTCGCCGTAGTTTACGTGTATTCGGAGACAGAGATTGTGCGCCGAGATTCGGAGCAGCTCTGTTCCCGTAGTTTACGTGTATTCGGAGACAGAGATTGTGCGCCGAGATTCGAGGCAGCTCTGTTCCGTAGTTTACGTGTATTGCGAGACAAGATTGTGCGCCGAGATTCGGAGCAGCTCTGTTCCGTAGGTTAAGCAATCGGAGACAGAGATTGTGCGCCGAGATTCGGAGCAGCTCTGTTCCGTAGGTTACTATATTCGGAGACGAGATAATGCGCCGAGATTCGGAGCAGTTAGAACTAATTCAGCCACTTGTTGACCTTCCTGTAGTTCTACTGTGCTGTTTCCAGTATTGATTATCTGTAAGGGAATACTAGTTGTATTACCCCTTATCATGGTCCGGGCCAGGTGCAGTCCCATCCATTCTAAATCTCTGAACTGTTGTATGGCCTCAATCATAACTAAGAATTCGCCATCAGCCTTCATTTTCATTCCCACTCTTCCAGGAACCAAGTAGCCTTCTCCTGGTTTTAGCAGCGTGGTTTCCGCCACATATACAGGCACGGGAAATTCCTCCTCTTCTCGATGACATCTTACAGTCTCCCCATTGACGTGTAACAATCCTTTCTTGATATCAAATATGCAATTATATGTCTCCAGAAAATCCAGTCCCAGCAGTCCATCCGCCTGGCCTAGTGAAGCAATTATCATGCTACTTGAAAAGGTACGATCCTCTATTTTCATTGCAAATTCAGCTTCCCCCAAGCTTTTAAAGTTATCTCCATTGGCCACCTTCAACGACTGAAATGTCGGCTCTAACGTCTGATCCTAACTTTTGGTTAGGGTCCAGTAAACATCCTCATCCAAAAGTGTTACGCTTGATCCTGTATCGATGATAAACTCTAATGCTTTGTCTTCTATCGTGATAGTCACCTGCCAGCATTGAGAAGATAATACTGACACTCCCACTTTCTTATTCTCCATAGGTTTTAACGATTCCTTTTCCGCATCTAATCCAGATCTCTTCGCTTCTGTCTCCTTAACGGCTTCAGGAACAAGACCAATTCCAGTGTGCAGAAGGCGGCGTGTTGGCTTCCTCATTATCCATCCATACTGGGGGCGAGGTTTTCTCTATCTTAACCTGTCTAACTGGGGAGTGTCCCGCCTTCTCATGCTGGAATAAATCCCTGCGACCAACAAAAGCTCTAGGCATTTCCTGCCTGTGTTGAGATACTGGTTTGCCAATTGACGTGATTCTCCTCGACAATGGCCTCCCAAGAAAATCCTCTTCCTCATCCTCGCTATCATCAGAAATTGAATTTCTTGTAGGAGCATGTGTCCTTGGGCTATCCTGAATGTTGCTAGGACGGGTCTTAGAATAGGCTGGATTTAACATCTTAGGTTTGACACTCGCCCTTATTCCATCTGCACGACTGTCTTCATTCATATCCCCCTTATACAGTTCCCAGCTTCCTTGCTCTAACTCAACCCTTGCTTCCCTAGCTTGTTCAGCATCGGGTACGCCTATTCCCTGGAATGCATCTCCCGGGGACGATTGCGTAAGAGTCCTACTACCTCCACTATTCACTCTCTTCCTTGGTATCTCCTCCTGTCGTGGGGTTGGAGTAAAGAACGAGCGTACATAATCCAGAAAACCTGACATGTTTTCTTATAACCTGACACAAATCTGCAATGCGAGAGATCCCGGACGAGCCCCCAAAAATACTGTAGTGACCCTAGGGTGTAAACGCTAACCAGGGCAGCAATGTCACTTACGGTAGACGGTTGCATGATTTCCTTATCAGCCCGTTTCACGCAGTCCTCTTCTTCGCATGACTTTGCCTCGCGCGAGCACGCGGCAAGCAGCGGAATGACTATGGAGACACCAAAGTCGGCGTGCTCCGCTACGATACGTAGGCTCAACACTTACCTGGTGCGTGAGCTAGGCTATCGGGAGCATCTCCCAGACTCCTAGCTGGCATATCGTATCTAGTTGCTCGGACGCGCTCCGCCTAGCTTGGCAGTCGAGCGTATATGGATCCATGTGGATGGGTGCCCACTTGCCAGTAGGTCGAAGTTCGCTCAGTTGTTGATTCGAGATAACTAGATACGCTCCTATGTATCCGCCGGCGTCTCAGTCTCGTAGCTCGACGTATCTACGTGTAAACCTCCATTAGCTCTCAGTCAGACACTATCCCTGTCGGTCCCAACAATCTAGGTTGCTCCACAAAAGAGGCGCCTGTCTAATGTCATACAAGAGTCTATGTCCTTTCTTCGCAGCACACCGTGACCAGAAGTTCCTCTAATCCCCATAATACTTGAATTCAGAGGAACAGGTAATTGTATAGTGATTTAAGGGGATGCACATAAAGCACTTTAATATATACAATATAATCAATTGAAAACAAGGAGAATAACTAACCCAATTATTAAGTAGACGGCCAAGCTGCGCACACTCCATGGTGGCTTAATTATTACGATGCGCGCATGCAGGCTACAGAAATATAGTCATAGACACGTATAGGAACAAGCACTAGTAATAGTATAACACCATGCGATTAGGCCTACATATTTCTATACATTCCCTTCAACGATGTGCAGGTATAACGGGAAAACAGGCGGGGGTATGGGGTCCTGCCCCGCAGAACATATTGAAAGAATGTAGACGGCGCAGGAGATTGGTTATTTTGAGGTACTTTGAGTATCATGTAGCAGGCCTTGCATTCTGACTACGATACAATTCTTGTTTAACAGTCAGCAACAATTTTTGGGCTTGCATGCGGCGGCAGTGAGTTGATGTACAGGGGGGGTGGCGGCATTGTTTGAGGTCGCATTTATTAATGAATATGTCAGGGGTGACACCGCTAGGATGAAGCGCCAGCGAGCAAAACTCTTTCTTGAGAATTGTGAAAAAGTCGTGGCAAAAAGGTTTAATTAACCTGGCTTCGGCCTCTCCAATGTATCATAATTTACCCCATGGCGTCAGTGCGCCGTTTTGTAGCAGGCGCGCGCGTCTATTAACTTGGACAATAATTAATTGGTATGTGTGTACAAAATCTTCGTTCATTCATCACAGAAGGGGTGGCTGGCCAACCCAATCCACCCCCGGCATGAATCTGCGCGATGAGGCGGTAATACTTCAGTAGATAACATGAACTCATACAGCTTACTTAAATTTTATCGACAAATGATTTAATTATTACACGCGGCTAGTAATTTATACTACGTCCTTCGTTTGTTACTTCGTGTCAAAACTGTGTGTGATGTGTTGTGTGTGTTGTGTGTGGTGTGTGTGTGGTGTGCTGTGTGTGTGTGGTGTGTGTGTATATATACTGGTGTGTGTGTGTGTGTGTGTGTGTGTGTGTGTGTGTGTGTGTGTGTGTGTGTGAAGTGTGAGTGTGTGGTGTGTGTGTGTGTGGTGGTGTGTGTGTGTGTGTGTGTGTGTGTGTGCTGTTGGTGGTGTGTGTGTGTGGGCTGTGTGTGTGACCATGTGTCTCGTCTGAGTAAGGCGCATGAGTATCGTCGCGTGTGTGCGTCGTGGTTGTGTGGTGTGTGTGTGTGTGTGTGTGTGTGGTGTGTGTGTGTCGCATGCTGTGTGTGGGCGGGGGGGTCTGTGTGTTTCTGTGTGTGTTATGGTCTGTTGGTCTCTTTAATAACGTACGAGTACACCGCCCCACGCCCCCCCCCACACACCACACCGCACATACACATGCGCGCCTTACTCAGACGAAACAACATGCGCGCTTACTCAGACGAACACACATGCGCTACACACACACACACACACACAACACACACACACACACCACACACACCACACACACACAAACACACACACCCCACACACACAACACACCACACACCACACCACACACACACGCACAACGCACACGCACAGCTGCGCACGCACACGCACACGCACACACACACACGACACACACACACACACACACACACACACACACGCACACGCACACGCACACACACGCGCTAGCGCAATAAATTGTATGCTTAAATTCTTTTTTTAACTCTTTAAAAAAAATGATGTGGCAGCACGCTCGCGTGCCGCTCCTTTTTGCCTAAAGGCAGCTACGCGCCTGGCGATTTAGTAGGTCGATCAGTCTCAAGGCACATTTTAGCTGTCTTTATCAAACTACAATCCCCGCGCGAACTATATACGACCCTAGTTACTGTTATTCATGAAAGAGACAGAAAAAGAGAGAAAGGGAGCGAGAGACGGGATGAGAGCAAGCGAGAGAAGAGAGAAGAGAGGAGAGAGAGAGAGAGAGAAGAGAGATCGAGAGAGAGAGAGAGAGAGAGAGAGGAGAGAAGAGAGAGAGAGAGAGAAGAGAGATAATACGCACCGCGCGAGAGAGAGAGAGAGAGAGAGAGAGAGAGAGAGAAAGAAAGAAAGAAAGGGAGAGTCAGGTCTCTCTCGCGTGCACGCATTCTTGAATTACTGAATAATATCATGAGTACATAATCACAAATTATCTCAGCCTGAAAATGAAATTATCATGAACGTATTAATAGCTAAATACGTAATGCTATAATGGACCGGTTTAACGCTGTTCCATTGTCATGGACATTGAATGTTGCAGTAATTTGAAAAAGATTTTAGCATCCACAATGTGCGCAGAGCCATGATAGGCCCTATATACTGTAGGTACTCGGTATGGCAGCCGCAGCCGTTGCTTAGGCGTGAGCGTTTGCGCCTTTCTTTTTAGTGGAATGAGCGGTGTCTTTTGGCTTTGACCCTCGGAGAGTGTCGTTGTGATCGTCCCCCGCCCGGTACATGCTGCTGTATCCGGTATGTGCCGCTGTACACGACACGACTGTTATTCTTTCCACTTTTCGGAGCAGCTTTATATGCTCTGGCTATATTATTGCGCTAAAATTTACGATTAAAACGCGTAACTAACGATAGACGGCGCCACAGTACGAGCACGATGGCTGCGCCAGGAAAGCTTACAAGGTTCTATGAATTTGGCAAGAAAATCATTTGTATTGGAAGAAACTACAGGTTACATGCTATTAATCATATATGATATAGTAGTTACAAGTATATGCGTACCGAGTGTCCCTATTATAACACACATCACAAACTTGCATAAATGGGGGCCTGGCTGGTTCAAGGATAGAGAACATGGGTCCAATATAACCAATGCTAATTTACATCAATATAAATATAATATTCTATCAATATAATAATTAGGGTTATGGTATGGTTAGGGTTGAGGGTTAGGGTGTGGTTAGGATTAGGGTTAGGGTTTAAGGCCACATTGGTTTTATTGCGACCCATGTTCTCTATCCTTGGCCCGATTGGCTCAGTTACTGTCTGGCATCTGTTAAGGAATTAAAGGATACTCTCTACGTTGTGCCCGGGGTATTGCTCTAGTGAAGATTAAACATTTATTGGCGAATGAATCGAATCAATCACGTTGTTTTATTTATAGAGGAGATTATACTCTATGCTCAAGCCAAAAAAATTTCTTGAAACTTCCAGCCACCTAATTATGTTACCACACACAATTTTGAATTTTTATGTAAAAGGGTATTTGGATATTCTCACCTACCAGAAAGAGTGAGAATACAAAATTTTTTGCCACATGTTAACGACTATATGGGACCACAAATATGCGTCAGGATTTTTCTTTATTTTCATATTTACCGGAGAAAACTGGAAAAAACTGCTAAAAATCAAGTTGTGTGTTTAAAATAGAAAATTTTAGCCGAATAAGAGGCATAACTAATAAAGTACGGCACTTAATACCAATCCCTGACGCACTTCTTTACTACAATATGTTACCATTAAAACGAGCTGTAAATTAAATTAATCCGAGTTGTAAATCACAGAGAAATATCAATTTATACATCGGCTACTATGTCAGAACTCGAAACGGAAGAAATCATCGTTTTCCTATTTTTCACAATGAGTGACCTCCTGTCAAATGGGATGTGAACAAATGTTGCAAAATGTGACAAAATGTGACAATGGTGAAAATTGACAATGTGAAATGTGAAAATGTGACAAATGCAAAATGTTGACTATGTGTGCAAAATGGTGAACGTATGTGATATAGTCTATTGTTAGTACTTACTGCGACATATCCAGACTAACTGACACGCTGGCCGACACCACTAATTGGTAAAATGTTCCATGCACCTTGAGAATTCTGAGAAATTACGCAGGTGCCATCGCGCAGACGGGAAGCTAATATGTCAACAAACGCGCGCCTTGTACCGGCACTACAGTAAGGTGTGTTGCGAGGTGTTAGAACTATTTTGGGCGTGGGATACTTGTTGGATCACTAGCAGTGTCAGTGACGTGAATGTGAATACATGTAATGACAGCTGTAGCAGGGTTGACGTCTGAATGATACTGGCTATAGTTAATATCGTGGTTTTACATTCTCTGACGTCATAATGACGTCAGCCGCTGGCTTACTACACATGTACGCGGCAGCGCAAAAACGCTCTGACTGTTCACAATGTACCGTTATATGGAGAATGAGCATGTGACACAGGTGGCACATAGTGTTACGCATCGAATAAGTTAAAAACGGAAAAATTCATAGAAAT